CCCTCCTCCTCCATCCCCTCTCTTTCTTTACCCCCATTGCTAGGTCCAGTGTCTTTATCCAAGAACAACAACCTCTCCTCCATCCCCGTAAATAAGGACGGGCTCTTCGGAGGGGTGGTAAACCCCAACGAGGTGTTCTGCTCGGTTCCGGGTCGCCTGTCCCTGCTCAGCTCCACATCAAAGTACAAGGTCACGGTGGCCGAGGTGCAGAGACGCCTCTCGCCACCCGAATGCCTGAATGCCTCACTGCTGGGAGGAGTGCTGAGGAGGTGAGTTAAAAAAAGAAAAGAAAAAAAGAATCTCCACCTTCTCTCTCTTTCTGTACCTGTTTGTCTACTCCAATCCATTCTCTCTCTCCTCTGTACCAAGAATAATTAAAATCGACCAACCATGACACCTAGCTCCTGCATTTAAAGCAGGAGGGGTCTGTTAAATTCCATATTAACTTCCCCTAGTGCTCTCTCTCTCTCGCTCAAATTAATGTAGGCCTAGTCTGTTTCAACCCCAGCTCTATAGGCCCACTGAAGGCATTACACATGAAAACATTGGTCTCCAGTGAACTGTCTACTGAAGTGCTGTAGACACGCAGCCAGTAATAGCGCTGCCTATTAAGTAGGGCTTTATTTATTCATTTTGTACAGTATTTGTTTGCTGGTGAAAAAGGGCTGGGCTCTTTTGGTATTATTTATAGCACGCACGAGGGATGTAATGGAGGGTAAAGCCAGCCAAATGCACCTTTTAATTAGTGAAAAAAAGCCATAGAATAAAAAAGCTAATTCAATTCCTGAACCACATTAACTGTAAATATATAGCCACCATAGGAGGTCCACGTCCCAGAGATCAGAGAACATTATAAAAATACGTTTAACTTTTTGCCAAACAGTTGTCCTATACTTATACATTAACTACATTATTATATATTTTATATATTAAAATGTGTACTCTGTTCTGTCCCAGGGCCAAGTCTAAGAACGGAGGAAGATCCCTACGGGAGAAGTTGGATAAAATCGGCTTGAATCTACCTGCGGGCAGACGCAAGGCAGCTAACGTCACCTTGCTGACGTCACTAGTCGAAGGTAAGTCGAGTGCCGTAAATCACGTTCCCACTCTTGTAGCTCCCGCGATATCAAGTGCTTGCAAAGTGGGATTTTTCCCCCCCTTCTCTCTCTCTTTCTTTCTCTGTGTTGGAAATCAGCATATGCGCTCATCCGTGTAATGTGGACCGACTTTGCCTCGCAAGTAATAAAGCATGAAGGATGTGTGTGTGTCTGTGCAGTGCAGTGTGTATGTGTGTGAGGAGGGGAGAATGCTGCTGGTTATTCTATGGCTTTGCAGCGTTGGCCTTCGCTTTCAGGAGCACACTTGCAGGTCCACGGCTGGCCTAGTTTATACACAGGATGAATTCGTGTTGAGGTCCAGTTAATTATTGAGTGCTGCTTGTTTATTGGGCACCACTGAGCTGCTTCACCCCATGGATGAGAAGTGGATTGATTTATTACCCTGCATTATTTCAAACATTAATACAGGCCGGGTATGTCGGCGCAGGGCTGATTTTTTAATAGTGACTTAATTATTTCGTTAATAGCTTTGGTTTTTCGTGAAGATGCAAATGGGATGGCGCTGACCTATTGGGAGCTATATGTTTTGGTCCTATTAAAGAATAAATTAGTCAATTATGGCGCGATGAAAAGATGCACTGAATAAATCCATTTTGCTTGCAGAGTTTAACCTTATTATTCAGTGCAGTGGTATTTGGTTGTGCTGTGGGCTTTTAAAGGTGAATGCCTGCGATGGTTCATTGGTCCTTGTTAATCATTATTGCAGAAGAGGGCCGAGTGTTCATTGTGTTTGGTAGAAAATGTGCTGCTGTATTGTAATGAGCCTGGAGAAATGTATGATTCTTGGTGATAAGGGGGGGGGTGGCATGGGGAGGGTGGGAGAAGGCAGCCGGTTATTTAGTGAAGGGACAGTGCGTTTGCTGAAGTGCTGTCATTGTTTATGATCTGCTCCGTTTTATGGAAACCAGTTTACTGGACTTGAGCTTTGATGCTAATTGGCGCATGCGTTCTTCCGGAGTGGAGGCTTATGGGCAGGAAGCCCCGCAGTAAAAACTCAACTGCTTCAGGAAATTAAAACCAAAGACTTGGAAAAAAATATATAACAGGGACGGAATGAAACCTGTATATGTAAAGACAAAGCGAGATTTAGCTATAGCCCTTTAAAATTGCTTCCCCATGCCTGTGTGATCTGCTGGACTCTCAATAATGTGCAGCCATTGGTAATCAATGACATGGTGTTCAGCATGACGCCCCGTCTATATTTCATATCCACTTATTGTCTCTCCTCCATATTATTCCGTTCTCACGGTATGGGGGGGGGGAGCTTGACGTGCATTGACAGCTCGCAGTTTTATTATTATTATTCCCGGGCTATTATTGTCATCATTAGTGCTGTTGTGAAGGCACAGGTGCTGTAACCCTGCTGTCTGGACACATCAGATTAATCATGTGTCGTCCAAGCAGGGAGTGTGAACTCCTCTGAATTTGATGTAACCATATTTAATAAGCAAACACATTCAACCTCGTTTTTTCTTTCCTTCTCAGGCGAAGCGGTTCATCTTGCCAGGGATTTTGGTTATACATGCGAGACCGAGTTTCCAGCCAAGGCAGTAGCTGAATATGTAAACCGTCAGCATTCCGACCCAAACGAACAAGTCCAAAGAAAAAACATGCTATTGGCCACAAAGTAAGCGCTATTATCACATTTCACTGTGTCACACCAAATGCATCCAAACACACACGAAGACAGGGATTGGATTATTAAAATTCACACTTACAAATAAAAGTATGTCATCATGACACATTACGTTCATCATTGCTCCATGCCAATTTCAGTCCACTAATAGCTAGCATAATATGAATTAATTAACAAGCTGTTTTGTGTTGCCACATGGCCTACTTTTAATTGTTACTGGACATCTCTGCAAATTATGGATTTCATTTAGACCTTTTCATTTACACATATAATTCAATATAATATTATACATTATTATTAAAAGTGAAGTTAAATGCTCTGTTGTTGGTATGTTGACTGGGCCTTTTCCTCTTCCATAAGCACCGTTTCGTTTGTGATTTCAGTGACACTGACACATAGCTGGTTCACATGCAGCACTATAGGTGTTTTTATTATGAGAAACAGGGGGATTCCTTAACTGGCCTGCATTTAATATTGATAACGGGCCACTATTATCAAACAGCTGTTCACTTAGAGTGTATTAAAATACCAATACATTGAAATGAAGAGAAAACGAAAAATATTAGATTTACATTTAACGTGACCATTTTGCACAAAGATAAAGGTGTTTTTTTTAAGGATTAAATTCCGGGTTTTTTACTTCATAGTTGTATTGGTTGCTGTTTCTATTTGATAATAAGCAGCTGAACGTTTACACTGCGAAATGGTTGGTTGTTCACCGACAAGTCATTTGCACTCATGTTTTCTCTTAAAATCTTATTCTTAATAAAAGAGAGATATCCTGCCCCTGAGCTCACAGATGAGTTTCCACCTGTTTGCAGCTGCAGGACATTTTCTTTAGCCAGGGGTTAATTTCTGAAAACAAAGCAGAGTAAGATAAACAATTTCAGTGCACTAATAAATGTTCTGAAGAAAAAGTCTGCAGAAAGAGGATCTGCTCACTTTAGGCTAATTTGGAGTTTACAACCCAGCACCCCTGCAGGACTGACTAATTACACATTATTTTTGATTTATTCTCATCATGCATGGGTTTGCAGTGTTGTGTGTTTGTCATTAACTCTGCGTTTTCTCTGTTTTAGGCAAATCTGCAAAGAGTTCACAGACCTGTTGTCCCAGGACCGCTCGCCGCTTGGAAACTCGCGGCCGCAGCCCATCCTCGAACCGGGAATCCAGAGCTGTTTAACCCACTTCAGTCTAATCTCACACGGGTTCGGAACCCCGGCACTGTGCGCGGCAGTCACGGCCATGCAGAACTATCTGACCGAGGCTATCAAAGCTATGGACAAAATGTACCTTAACAACAACCCCAACAGTCACTCAGACGGCACTAAAGGCGGAGACAAAGACGAGAAGCACAGAAAGTGATGTTTCCATCCTCACCGGGCCAACACCCCGGAGGCCCTTCTTCTACACCGACCCCTCCGCCTCGCCCCGGCCCCCACCCATCCAATATAAATATTATAAATACCTTATAAATACTATTGATAAAGTTAAACGTGCCACTTCCTGATCTTGCGAGCGGTTTTACATGTTTTGTTTTGGATTCACGGGGGAAACGACGCGAGAATCTTCTTCCAACACCTGAACCATATGAAATGTTATTTTAAAAAAAGAAAAGAGAAAAAAAAGCTGCGGAGGAACAGCTCCAGGGCGAGGAAAAAGGTGTATTGCCTCAGCCAGAGGACTTTTTATGTACTCCCCTTATTTTTTATGAGCTGCAACGAATGGACTGAAATCCAGCGACCCCTCTATATCTCAATTTTACGATTGTGACAAAAACGAAGCGAAAAGAGGATGAATTCTTATCAGTATTGTGAATAATAAACTTGAAAAACAAAGAGAAATTCCACAGAGCTCCATGTCATGACTTCAGTTGTAGACTCTCACTCTCTCCAAGCGACCAACTTGAACTTTTTGAAATTTCAACACGATTCACGGTTATATAAGGGAATCAGTGTTCATGTATGTATATATTTATTTATGTGTAATTTAATGGGAATTGTAAATATGGTGCGTCTGTTGAAACTTCTTTTTTATTTATCTGGTGCCTCCTGTTTTAGTGGGTTTGAATATTCGGTTAGTTCTTCTTCATGTGATTTTATGGTTCTTAGAAAAACAGAAGTTTGGGGTATTTTATTTCTCTGGGATATTTCAATTCAGCCCTCTTGTAGCATGTTGAGGCGACATTGAAGCAAGTGAACAAATTGAATAGAAATAAACTTCCATTTCTCTCTATATATATCATCCTTATCAGTTTTTTATTTGAGACAGAGCAAAGGTGACACCCTGAGGAGAACTTTTTTGTGTTTCTATTTTCGTTTTTATACAAGCTTTTATGTGTTGTGCCAATCAGAATCACCTCTTGTTCTCTCCTTGAAGCACCATAAAAGCAATAAATGGAATATTGTCTTTTTTTAAATGTTGGAAGACATTTAAAAAAAACATTTTTTGGGACCACCTGATATCTTGTCATGTCCGATAATGTCCAACATTGGAGGCGGTTTTAGCTGTATTGTATAGACATGTGCTGGCAAGTTCCCATGCCTGTCAATGTATTATAGTCCTTTGTTGCCCAGAAAAAAATAAATATTTGATACGCTTCATCTCGATTTTTATTCATATCTTTTAATTTTTTATTCACTGCACCCGGGTGTTTTTTTTTCCTTTCTGTTTTTTTATTTTGTTGGTCTTTTTTCCATTCTGAACGGCTACAGTAATTGAGTTTAAGCCTCCCCCGACGATTGCTCCTTGCAATAAGCAGCTGAACTCATTGCTTCCCTCAAGTATAATAAAAAAAATCTTACTTTAAACTCCCTAGTTCAGAGCACAGGATCTTATGCAGGCCAAATGGCTCACAACAATGGATGTATTCGCGTTTGAAGTGCAGCGCCACCCCTCCAGCTAAAACCCTCTGAGATGTATATAGGCCTGGTGTGCAATGTTTGGTTGTTATCGGCTATATTTGACTCCGCCCCTCTTTTATTCTGCCTTATTTAAAGACATGCATCAAATATTTGTTATGTTGTTTGCCTCTCAGTGTAATCAATGCACAATCAGCGCGCAGTACGCTGGCGTTTTAATCTATATTTCGTGATAATCATACCACTTTCATGCGGAATCTTCATCTCTGGCTGGTAATTTTTGTTGGTCTTTTGTTTGGCTGAGTGAGCCTATAACTATCACGCAGGCTGTAATAGCAAATCTGATGCTGGCCTTGGCTTTATTTTGCGTGCAGAGCTGCAGAGAGCGTTGCATAACACTTGACTTTGATTGTATATTGATGGCGTTGCACCTAACTCGGAATCATCTGATATGGAGCATGAATCGGTGATATATGCATCTGCTTTTTCCCTATTTCACTGTCTGGTAACCGTGCAGTTTAAAATATTGTGAGAGCACCCCCCCTCCCTCGCTTGCTCCTCTTTCTCTCCTCAGCAGCCATATTTATTATCTGCATGATTTTCGGGCCCTGGTTTAATTCTGAGGCAGTTGTTTTTTTTGTTGCAGGAGGGTGAATGAAGCCTAACTGTACATGTCCTTGGCATAATTGCGATGCACAGTGCTGGAGCAGGTGAAGCGAGGCATTGTCTGTCAGGCCCTGTTTTTGTTGGCTCAGTCTTCAGATTGTGTGTGGGATCCTGTCCTCAGGCACAATAGCTCACTCATAAAGGGGAGAGACTACCCGGCTGCTCCTGCTATGGTGCATGTGAGGGGGGGAATAGCATAAATAGTCACTTTAGGGGAAAACAATCGTATTAAAAACAGCATTGCTATTAGCCAAAAAGGAAGCCCCTCACGTGTGTCATTAATGCTAATGTTATTTAATAAATGCATCAGGGTTTGGGTGAATGAAAACAGGTTTCGGAGGGTGAAACGAACGCATTATAAATAGTGGTATCTGTGACAATGGTGGATGTTTGTGCCTATTATTAGTGTGAGATGAGTAGTATGGCAGGGCCTGTAATTGTGTCTTTTTGTGTAATGGAATTGGTGTTAAAGAAACTCAAAATCCTATTGTGAGGCGTTTGTTTACACTGATACTAGCCTATAATTTGCATACCTTTTTAATACGAAATTGTAATTATACCCAAATTCGATCTTAAACAGGTAGAGCTAGTTCCTCAGTGAAAGTCATTTTAAAAAAACACAACAAGGAAGTGTGACATTTGAAGAGCCAGTCAGCAATACCCAGATGAATTTGGCTAATTCAATCCATAGCTGCTGCTTGTCTCAAGTAAAGCAATTACAGCTGATTCCCGGTTAGTAATTAATAAGTGTGAGGCCTGTTGTTATCAAATATGTTGGAGGATTTGCGAAATAAAATATGAGAGGGGTTAGAGTGACGCATTGTGTGTGATTAAGCGTTTTCTGCAGGCAGATGATGCGTAAAGATGAAGTGTGGATAGTTTTTTATTTATTAATTTCATACACTAACTTGCAGTACTTTTTTTTGTATGATTCAGATATTTCCCTATTGAATGCTTGTGTGCTAACATTGCAAAGATTTTTTTTTTTCTTCATGCAACTCCGTTAATTGACCACTGCCTGTCGCGCATTTTACGCAACTTTTCATCTTCAACCAGCTGCTCTCTCATCAGCCCTACACATGTGTCCCATCCACTTTACACGCCAGCAGCCATGTATGTGGTCAGAAAGTATTTAGTTGACGCTGTTGAGGTCACTGCTTGGTGAAAGGAGTGTCTGCATGGCCTAATTACCCCGCAGCACCATGGCTACAACAATCTGCACTGTAACGCTCGCAGGCAATGCTTTGGAGCTGCCTGCCTGCATGGGGAGATATAGGACAGCAGCACACAAGGACTAGATTTTTTCTTCCTTCCCCTGCTCTGCCACAAATGTTATATTGGGGTGATTGGAGTTTGATTTAAGCCCAGCTGTCCTCCTGACATTTAAACAGAGGGATCTGCTGGAGATTGAAGTGATTGTTTAAAGATGATCAGTCATAGCGAATTACTTTGGGGGAAAAATACTTTCCAAAAGATCATTGTAAGTTTGCCTTATTGATGGAAAATAGACGTGTTTAAGGAATACACATGTTGATGCTCAAGAAATAATAAGGGACAGATATATACTCGAACTACACAATTTTTACAAACGCAGTAGAGCAGGCCCTAGTCAGATGTGTCACCATTACGCATTTCAAACGGCCGGCTCTCGCTTTAAATGGCTCGGACACGACGCAGGGTTCCTTTAAATGACATTTTATACGGTTATTGGTGCAATCGAATTAGGCCGTGTGACTCTAAAGTTTGCAATGAAGCGCAAAATGGCTAATTGTCCTCAACTCTGACATCAGCCGTCATTGGCGCTGACCCCCCCCTGTGGGCCCCCTTGCCCACTGAGAGCAGGGCTCAGAAGCCAAGAGAGGTCAATGACTCAAGCAAATCATCAAATCACCGCTGATTACTCGAGACATTAGGTAATCGATTAGAAAACATTAAGTGACTTTGAATAAACAAGTGACTGCTGATAGGAGGAGTTCAATAACTGCAGAGCAATAGGCCTATGGCTCATTCACAAAAAATTAGAGATGTTTGATCAATTGCACGTGCACAATTCCTTGCACATGCACAAACACATATTCGTTTTTTTTGTGGTTTCTGTGTCACTTAAACCAAGTAAGGCTTTGGAAATATTATTTTGTTTGCACTTACAGGTCTCATTGTATCAAACACTGAGGTCTGTCAATGTCATGGGCTTGTGTATCCCTAAATATGTGAAAAAAGAGGGGATTAAAATTGTGTTAATGTTTCCCTCCTCGGTTAATGCAGTTTATATTCTAGTTTTAGTCATTCTCTCCCTCTTTCTGTCTCTCCCTGCATCCGCTGCAGTCAGCCAGGGGGGGAGTGTCGCCCCGGGCCAAACATATGCTTCTTTCCATTGCACTAATCCAAATGCAGCGTGGAGGAATAATTGCTCGAGTGGCCGTGGCTTCGCAGGGGCTTTGTCCCTCACTGGCTCCCGTCAGCCAGGCACACGCCATTTCAATCAAGCCTCTATATCTCTCTTTCTCTCTCTCTGTGTATCAAACCTCGGACCTTTTATCAAACCAGACCCTCACGCTCCATAAGCACACAGCCACATCCTCTAAAAGGCGTTTTTTGTATTTCCCCCTCATGTTGTTGTTGCTGTCAGGTCATCACATTTGGAGCCCCATCTTCATTAATATTGACAGTGCAGCACGTTGGCAGGCTTTATGGGCAAAACGGTCGCATGAGCAATGAATACAAATTAAAAAAAGACTTTTGGGGTAATATTTCCTCAGCGCCGGAGTATTTTTAATATATTTCACAGATTCCAGGCACCAGGAAATATTCGGTCAAGAAGGGGAAATCCACTTGGTCATTCAAGCAGAAATCTGACAGAGTTGATTATGGCTTGTTTGGATTTAATGTGTTGTTAAAAACAGACCTAAAATGATTGACAAATGACGTGATCTGCACAGTTTCACAGATGTTGTCCTTGGGGCACTTTCGTGAAAATAAAATGCTGAGGGCCAAATATTTACTGTATCAGTAGTAACCAAACAGAAATAATAATAATAATAATAATAATAATAATAATAATAATAATAATAATAATAATAATACAATATTAATTAATTTAAAATAAATTGCAAATGTTGTGGGTTTATTTGGCCA